CACACTATGGTGTGTCCGTTCAAATTTTACTAAGCTAATTGAACAAGCAAGAGATTCCCTTTCAAAGATACAAAAAGTCAATACGCCATTGATAAGTCTTTTAGATGATCAAACAAATCGAAAGAAATATATGTCTTTGGAGAATGCATCTCAAGGTTCTTGTATGGGAGGTTCGCAAATATATATGATGCCACAATTATCTGTCCATGATCCTCTTGGTCCAACCACTACAAAAGGTCGTCCTAAAATTGCTAGTAGAATCAAGTCTTCTTTAGAAGCCCCCAAAAAACGTACATGCTCTTACTGTCAAGGAGTGGGTCATTACGCTACTAGTTGTTCAAAAAGAAAGGTACTTATAATATTAATTTAATTTTCATGATTTGGAACTCTAATAATCATATTAACAATATTTTTTTCATGTATCAGACAGATGAGTCGTTGGAAAAGACATAGTGATGAGATGTGTTATTTTTGTAAGCAAAGGAAAAATCCATATGCTTCCTGGCCTTTTTGACATTATTTTTTGGTTAACAATGTATGAATAATCTGGAAATGTTTTATGTTTCTTAAGACTATTTATTGTTTTCGAATGAAAATTGTTGATTATTTATATTTTTTGTGTTTAAAATTGAATGTTGGTTGTTCTTATGTGTTTCAAATGAAAGTAGGATGTCATTATGGATAGTTTGTCTTCACATTCTTTTTTTGTTTAATTACGTGTCAATAATGGGTTAAAACTAAAAAATCAATTCTATTATGGGTAAAAACTGAAAAGTAGGATGCCATAATGGGTCAAAACTGAAAATATGTGTCAAGACTGGAATTAGGTTGTCATTATGGGTGAGGAATGAAAACATGATGCTATTGTGGTTGAAAACGAAAATATGATGCTATTGTGGGTAAAAAATGATAATATGTTGCTATTGTGGGTGAAAAACAAAATTATATTCCTATTGTGGGTTAAAAAAAACATGTTGTCTTTTTGGGTTAACGATGCAACTATGGGTTAAAAATGTAATTTTTTTGCAATTGTGGGTTAAAAACGAAAGCATGTTGTCTTTTTGGGTTAAAAATGTAACTTTTCTGCAATTGTGGGTTAAAAACGAAAGCATGTTGTCTTTTTGGGTTAAAAATGTAAATTTTCTGCAATTGTGGGTTAAAAACGAAAGCA